TATTTTTATAGAGACGGGGTTTCACGATGTTGGTCAGTTTGGTCTCAAACTCCTGACCTTAGGTGATCTGTCCGCCTCAGCCTCCCAAAATGCTGGGATTACAGGTATGAGCCTCTGTGCCTGGCCAGGATTTTATAATTTTATAACCTGTGTATTTGATGTAAGTGCTGAAGCATTGGAGCATTATTCATAATGTTTATATAATTTTTTTTTGAGATGGAGTTTTACTCTTGTTGCCCAGGCTGGAGTGCAATGGCGGGATCTTGGCTTACTGCAACCTCTGCCTCCTGGGTTCAAGTGATTCTCCTGCCTCAGTTTCCCAAGTAGCTGGGATTCCCATGCGCCACCATGCCTGGATAATTTTGTATTTTTAGTAGAGATGAGTGTTCACCATGTTGGCCAGGATGGTCTTGATCTCTTGACCTCATGATCCGCCCGCTTTGGCCTCCCAAAATGCTGGAATTACAGGTGTGAGCCACCGTGCCCAGCCATATTTAAGGTTTTCTATGTGTAAGATCATTTTGTCTGCAAACAAGAATAATTTAACTTCATTTCCAATTTGGATGCCTTTTACTTCTTTCTCTTGCCTAGTTCTGGCTATCATTAGAAGCGGAAGTGAATCTTTTAATTTTTGATTAACAATTTATGTAAAATAACCTCTTTATACTGCTTATTATTCCCTTAGTATTCTGTTTTAACGAATCATGAGTTGGTTAGTGATGCCTGCACCACTGGGTCTGGAGGGCAGGGGTGAGAATTCCTACCAGCAGGTACTTCCTGCTCTTTTCTGTTTCCTTCCTTTCATTGTGTTGAGTGTGGAATAAGTGTGTTATTGTCACTTATTTGAGATTTTGCTTGAGTATCTCGTTCCTCTCATATATATATATGTATGTATGTATGTATGTATGTATGTATTAATTTCGAGACAGAGTTTTGCTCTTGTCCCAGGTTGGAGTGCAATGGTGCGATCTTGGCTCCCTGCAACCTCTACCTCCTGGGTTCAAGCAATTTTCCTGCCTCAGCCTCCCCAGTAGCTGGGATTATAGGCATGTGCTACCATATCCAGCTAATTTTTGTAGTTTTGGTAGAGACAGGGTTTCACCGTGTTGGCCAGACTAGTCTTGAACTCCTTCCCTCAAGTGATCTGCCTGCCTTGACCTCCCAGAGTGCTAGGATTACAGGCGTGAGCAACCATGTCCAGCCCATGCTGATCGTATTTAATTATGACCTATAAAGCTGGTATGCCAGATTATAAAAAGTTTGTGGTTTTAAAACTTCTTACAAATCTTTGAGCGCTCCTAAGGTTTTACTTGGGAAGATATTTTTGATAAATTATATGATAAAATGGACTGTTATATTTTTGCTACCATTTCTGGCATTTCTTCCCACCAGATTTTATTGTCCCTAGTTATATTATTTGATTCATTGGTAACTGGCTTTTTTTCTAGTTAAATTTTCACAGTTTGAGTTATTGGTGCCAATTATGTTACTTCATTTATTTTGACTGTCACTAAAAAATAATTGACAATTTATTCACTAAGACCCGTTGAACAATAGAGGCTTCAGGTAATACAAAACAGATGAAGGGTTTCCGCGTTGTGAGCTTGTTTCTGGCCAAGCTAGTCTGCTTTCCTTCTTTAGCAGTATGGGAGTAAGCTTTGAATCAGGTTACACAATTTAGAACAGTACTTCATCTGTTTGCTTTTGCATTTGACTGAGATTTCCAGAGTATGTGACCGGAACAAAAACTAGGGCTTTTAACTCTGTGTTAATGCCTGTTCTGTTGCTTGGTAGCCAGAAACTTATGCTGGCTGTGACCAGACACGGCAGGGGGATTCTGATAAGTCACACAGTTGAGGCGCCACCCCAAGTTTAGCAGAGAGGTTAAGGCTGCTTTTTGTTCCTTTGATCTACACACTGTCGGCCTGCTTCACAGCTTGCTTTGGGAAAACAAGAGAGGTCCCTTTTATTTTTTTTCTTTTTTTTTTTTTTTTTTTTTAAATAGAGTCTAGCACTGTCACCAGGCACCAGGCTGGAGTGCAGTGGCTCAATCTCGGCTCACTGCAACCTCTGCCTCCGGGGTTCAAGCAATTCTCCTGCCTCAGCCTCCCGAGTAGCTGGGACTACAGGCATGCCCCACCATGCCCAGCTAATTTTTGTATTTTTTTAGTAGAGACGGGGTTTCACCATGTTGGCCAGGATGGTGTCTATCTCTTGACCTCATGATCCGCCCGCCTCGGCCTCCCAAAGTGCTGGAATTAAAGGCGTGAGCCACCGCGCCCGGCCTTTATTTTTGTTCTTCTTAACTAAGGTAAACAACCTTCTGGGAAAATAGATCCTGACTCTGCTGTCTTGTTCCTAGACACTCATGATGGTTTTTCATTTTAAGTAACCTTTGAAAAAACTTCTTAAATATATCTTACTTAAATCTGGGGAAAATTGTTTGAAGCACATTCATATTTTTTAATTGGTAAGAAAAAAAATGACATAGTTCACATACCATACAATTCACCCATTTAAATTATACAATCCAGTGGCTTTTAGTGTAGTCACAGATACTTGCAGCTGTTACCATTTTAATATGTTTTCATCTTTCAAAAAGAAACCTTGTTTCCTTTAGCTATCATCCTCTACCCCTGAGTACCCCCTCCCCACCAACTCCTGGCAGCCACTAATGGACTTTATCGATTTCCTTATTCTGACATTTCATATGAATGGAATCATATAACATGTGGTCTTTTGTGACAGTCTTCTTTCACTTAGCATAATGTTTTGAAGTTTCCTATTGTAGTATATATCAGTACTTCATTCTTTTTTTATTAAAGCTGTGATAAAATAAGGCCAAGCACAGTGGCTCACGCCTGAAATCCTAGCACTTTGGGAGGCCGAGGTGGGTAGATCACCTGAAGTCAAGAGTTTGAGACCAGCCTGGACAACATGGCAAAACCTGTCTCTACCAAAATACAAAAATTAGCTGGTCATGGTGGCATCTGCCTATAATCCCAGCTACTTGGGAGGCTGAGGCAGGAGGAATCTCTTGAACGTGGGAGGCGGAGGTTGAAGTTAGCAGAGATAGCACCACTGTACTCCAGCTGTCTGAAAAAAATAAAAATAAAGTAAATAAAACTGTGGTAAAATAAACAGCATCAAAAATACCATTTTACCAATTTTAAAATTTATAGTTCAGTGGCATTAAGTACATTCACATTGTGCTACCATCACCACCATCCGTCTCCAGAATGTTTTCGTCTTCCCAAACTGAAACTTTGTACCCATTAAACTTAAACCAACTCCCTATTTCCACCTAGTTACCCTTATTTTAAAAAAATTCATTAGCTCAGTCAGAATCTGTTTTCAGCTGTAAGCCACCACATCTGTAGTAATGTGTTATAGCAGTGATAGGACACGGAGACGTTTGTGTCGTAGGTTTATAGAGAGTAGTCCTGATAGAAGGCGATTTTGCAACTCACACAGCTACTATGACATCTTTTTTTTTTTTGAGATACAAGTCTCATTCTGTCGCCCATGTTGGATACAGTGGCGTGATCTTGGCGTACTACAACCTCCGCCTCCCAGGTTTAAGCGATTCTCCTGCCTCAGCCTCCCAAGTAGCTGAAATTACAGGTGCATGCCACCATACTGGGCTAATTTTTGTATTTTTAGTAGAGACAGGGTTTGTTTCACCATGTTGGCCAGGCTGGTGTCAAACTCCCGATCTCAGGTGATCCACCCTCCTAGGCCTCCCAAAGTGCTGGGATTACAGGTGTGAGTCACCGTGCTCGGCCTTCTATGACTTATTTATTTATTTATTTGAGACGGAGTTTTGCTCTTGTTACCCAGGCTGGAGTGCAATGGCGCGATCTCGGCTCACCGCAACCTCCGTCTCCTGGGTTCAGGCAATTCTCCTGCCTCAGCCTCCTGAGTAGCTGGGATTACAGGCACGCACCACCATGCCCAGCTAATTTTTTTTTGTATTTTTAGTAGAGATGGGGTTTCACCATGTTGACCAGGATGGTCTTGATCTCTTGACCTTGTGATCCACCCACCTCGGCCTCCCAAAGTGCTGGGATTACAGGCGTGAGCCACCGCGCCCGGCCCTCTATGACATCTTTAATGTGGTACATGGTGCTCTCCAGCTTTGCCTCCTATCTCTGACAACTCTTCATGGTTAGTTAACAAGCAAGAACTCTGAAGCTGTATGCCTGGATTTGATTCCTGGCTTAGCTACTTACTTGGTGTGTGTGATTAGAGTATTGAGGTCTCCTGTTTCATCTGAAGGCCCTAGAGAACAGTTAATGTTGCAAGTTTTTGAAAAAGCTACTAGTCAGAATCAGATGACAGATTTTTAGTTATGGTAGCATAGAAGATCTTGGAACAATTAATACCTGTCAAATGAAAGAGGAAGGTTTAAATATTACCTCAAGATTTTAATGGGAGGCCGAGGCGGGTGGATCATGAGGTCAAGAGATTGAGACCATCCTGGCCAACATGGTGAAACCCTGTCTCCACTAAAATATACAAAAATTAGCTGGGCGTGGGGGCGCACGCCTGTAGTCCCAGCTACTCGGGAGGCTGAGGCAGGAGAATTGCTTGAACCTGGGAGGCGGAGGTTGCAGTGAGCCGAGATGGCGCCACTGCACACCAGCCTGGAGCCTGGCAACAGAGTAAGACTCTGTCTCAAAAAAAAAAAAAAAAAAAGATTTTAACCTACTAATTACAGAAATATAATGGAGATTTTGGATTCTAGAAGAATCTGAGTTTGCAGGTATGTGGGAATGGGGTTTCTTCGTTCTCAATTTCAAAAACTTTTCCCCACCTCTAATCTAGAAAAACAGATAGGGAATTAGTCTGTTTTTAATGTGACTGGTGGAGTTAATTGAGAGAATAAATTGAGACAAGGTAGCAGTTGTGTAACCCTGACTTTTCATCCATATTTATCCAAGAAGAGGGATTTAGCTCACCTTCATTGCAGATACTTACTGTCCTCTTAATTCCGACAGAGGTGGCCTTAGCAACATGCTGTTCCAGTGCTCTCTACCTGACACCACAGCCACTGTTGGCGATGAGCCTCGGAAAGTGCTCCTGCGGCTGTACGGAGCGATTTTGCAGATGGTGAGTTGGTAGGCTACTTTGGGAGGGGGAGAGCCTGTTAACATTTTAAATCCTCTGTCCTGATACCTGGAAAGAGATTTTAAACACTTAATGGTGTTACTAAAGATATTTAAGTATCTTGCTTTTACTTTAATTGGGCTGCACAACTTGGTTTGCATTCTAAGTTAATTCCTGTTTTTTTTTAGTTGTTATTTGTTAGTAAACTAGTATAAGTATTCCCAGTTTTACATCTAGAGAAGGTACAACGTTGGTTAAATCTTTAATAATGCTTGATGATTCTTGGTTCTACATATTGATTAAAATTTTCAGCTCAAATTTAGATTGTAAAATTCTAATGTGGAGAAGGTATTGTTTTTATAACATAATCAAAAAGATCTTAGAGGGTAGTCCCAGTTAACAAAGTATGATCTCAACGAACCTGAATTTAGTAACTGTTTCTCTGAGGTTTCTTTAAAACTTTGAATAGTTTGTTGCAGTCATAATCTTTCTAAATTTTTATATTATGTAAATAATCTAATTCTTAAAGTACCTATTAAATTATCCAGTTATAGGATGTCCCAACTTGTCTAGGTTTATTATTATTGTTCTTATTGTTATTAATGACATGAATTTACTATTTCATTGACCCCCAAAGAAATGTTTGGTTGATGTATTTCTTTTTCTTTTTCTTTTTTTTTTTTTTTTTTTTTGAGACGAAGTTTCGCTCTTGTTGCCTGGGCTGGAGTGCAATGGTGCAATCTTGGCTCACTGCAACCTCTGCCTCCTGGGTTCAAGCAGTTCTGCTGCCTGAGCCTCCCAAGTAGCTGGGATTGCATATGTCACTACGCTGCCTAATTTTGTATATTTATTTATTTATTTATTTTTTAAATTTTTATTTAATTTTTTTTTTTTTT